ATATAAATAAATATAATAATAATAATAATAATAATAATAATAATAATTATTATTATTATTATTATTATATTTATTTATTAATAATAATAATTATTATATATATTTATTAATAATAATAATAATAATTATTATTATTATTATTATTATTATTATTATTATTGTTATTATTATCAAACATCGATAAAGAGATTTATCTCGTATTAGAAAATGTTGCTCATCTTCGTCTCTCTCTTTTTTCCCTTTTCTTTTGCTTTTCTTTTTCTTTCTCTCTCTCTCTTTTTCTTTCGATCGATAAAAAGAAATATTATTTTTACTCTCCGATCATCGTGAATATTTTTTGTGATATAAAATTTCGTCATTAAATTAAAAGCGTATTTGGTGTAAGAGTGAAATATATAGGAAAGAGTGATTTCAATCGAAAGCGAAAAAAAAAAAAAAAAAGAAAAGGAAAAAGGAAAAAGAACAAGAAGAAAAAAAAAAAGAGAAAAAAAAAGAGAAAAAGAAAAGACAAAAGAAAAAAAGGATTTCTTACGACAACGATTCGATTTCAATTCGATTACGATACGTGGGAATTGTATTGTCGTACCACATAACGGCTTAACATGCGAGTACCTGCGTGACCGTATTCTATCTGAAATCGCTGTTAAACGTCATTAAACCATCGGTACGTGAGTTTTTAACGGGAGAAACTCTTGTATGAAGATACGTTCATCGGACCGAGATAGTCGCTTACAGTTGCATTTATTTATTTATTTTTATCTTTTTTCTTCTTCCTTTTTTTTTCTTTTTTTCTTTTTTTTTTTTTTTGCCACCTTTCCTCTCCTCTTTTTTCTACAATTCTCTCTCTCTTTTTTTCTCTCTTAGGCGTGCGCGAAAGGAGACATAATAAATGTAGAAATAATCTTCACTGTTGTTTTACTGTCGCTATAAAGATTGAGACGTTTGGAAGAAGACAAAATAATAAAAAGCGAAAGAAAAGAAATAAAAAAAGCATCGTTTTATTTCACACACACACACACACACACACACACACACACACACACACATATATATATTATATATTATATATTCGTTCTTTCTTTAGCAAAACTTTGCGATAAAAGATATAAGTAAGAAATTTTGTTCAATTTTAATTGCAGATCATTTTGAATCGTATGAAAAAGGGGGCTGGGAGTGGGAGAACAAAAAGGGAGAACAAAAATTAGATGAAAAATAAAATGAAATAAGTTAATAAAGAGAAACGAGAAATATGTTGATTAGTGAACAGATTTGCTTCGAGAAAATGTTTCTTTCGATGTAGGAATGAAGAAAAAAAGAAAAAAGAAAGAAAGAAACGAAAAGAGAAAAAAAAAAATTCGCAATAAATTAAAATAAAATATAAATAATATAACGATGATAAGAAAATCTCTTTCTCTCTCTCTCTCTCCCTCTCCCTCTCTCTCTCTCTCTCACTCTTTCTTTCTTAGAGAGAAGAAGGAAGAGGAGAAAATTTTTTCTGCGTTGTGCAGAACGGTACAGGATAGTTTCATTCTTGACATGAGTTCGGCATCGGTCTTTTCCCACACATGGAATTGTTTGCAATGACCTCTATGACACTGTTCGGTGCGCACATCGCAACATCATCGTTACATTCATGCAAATAAGCTGCTCGATGCTCGAGGCTAAGTCAAAACACATGAGTCTCTCTTCGCTCTTCCTCTGCCCCGGGTCTCATGAATCGGCATGAATATGGATCAATGGATTCGATGTTGATCATTCTCATTGATCCTCGGGTCATCAGGATGTTCTAACTTCTGACCGATTATAAATGTCATTGTGTAAATGATTTCATTTAACTTCTTTCTCCCTCTCTCTCTCTCCCTCTCTCTCTCTCTCTCTCTCTCTCTCTCTCTCTCTCTCTCTCTCTCTCTCTCTCTCTCTTTCTTTCTGTCTTCATTCTTAATTTCGTCAAAAGAAAAATTAAAAAAGGAAAGAAGTATATATATATATATTTTTTTTTTCTTTTTTTTTATTCTATATATATATATATCTGTAATGATAAAACAAAAATAGTAATAATAATAAAAAAAATAATAATAATAATTAAAAAAAAAAAAAAAAAAAAAATATATATATATATATATATATATATATATAATAAGAAAAGAAAAAAAAAATAAAAGAATCTAAAGATGTATTCTCTCGTAAAGATGTATTCAAATTAATTTTCATCCCTTTTTCGCCTGCACATATATATATATATATATATATATATATATATATATATATATATATAAGATGAGATAAAAGAACGATTAAAACGAGGATAAATAATAATAATAATTCTGGGTATTTATATTAATTATCGATTTTCGATTTTCATTCTAACGCCTAAGGAAATGTAGGTCGGTTAAGTATCGCAACGTTCAGCCGTTGGTTCCTGATCGATTGCTAGCGCACACGCGTGCGTAACCGACGAGGACACTACTCCCGCCACTAGAAGAGTCGCACATCTACTATATATAAATAAATAGTGCTCACAGGGATCAAGCGTATGCAAATCGTTTGTAGTCGTTTAGCACGCAGATAGGTAGTCGCAGGGCAGTACACCGGACGTTCCGTCTGTAAATTTATGTTAATCGTAATGTATCAGCGCTCAGTGTAGACTCGCTCTTGGAAGAGTTTTGCAAGTATTTAACTTGAATCGTCGAATATAATCATTTTCTTAACCCTCTACGTTTATTTTCGAAAATTAACAAAATTTACGATACACATATATATACATATGATCACGATGAACTTTTTATATTTAAAATATATATATATATATATATATATATATGCGTGTATATGTATACGTATATATATAAAAATATTCCACGATGTAAGGAACACCTCTAAAGGCTTTATTATTGCACGTAAAAGTTTAATAGAAATCATTTCAACGTTTAAACGAAGAAGTACAATTTATTTTTAAATAAACAAAAAAAATCGAATTTTTTCCTTTTTCATTGTTGGTCATTTACTCTCAACGGGAATTTCAATAAACGCATTTTCTCTGTTATGGAGATGGGGTATGTTCTTAAGGGTAACTTGAAATAATTTATTATTAGAATAATAATCTTTCCAAAGACTTTTCCTTGGTACATATTTTACATATATATATATATATATATATATATATATATATATATATACTTAACTCGTGCAACTGTTTTCTTCTATTTATTATGGATAATGGTCGACGAGTCGGTAAAACCTAATCGCTCAGAGATACGTTTTATTTACGCTTAGAAGTTATTTCCTTGCACGATTATCTTCGTAAGTTTCTCTTATCGCTTGGAAAAAGGAACATAAAAAAGGAAATAGAAAGAGAGAAAGAGAGAGAGAGAGAGAGAGAGAGAGAGAGAAGGAGAAAAAGAAAAAGAGAAAGAAAAAGAGAAAGAAAAAAAACGAAACTCAACTCACGTGGCAAGTGACTTTCATGAAAAATAATATTAATAAATTTCAAAGTTATGTTTTAGATTGTGCAAAAAAGAAAGAAAGAAAGAAAGAAAAAAAGAAAAAAAAAAGATAAAGAAACTAACAATTTCATTCGTCAAATTCGATTAAAATCTTTTAAAAATATATCTCACATACTGATGTTTTCTTTATACGTTTATATATCGATAGATAGCTTTATCCTCGCAAATATAAATTGTGTTTTCTAACGGAGACCAAATGAAAAAAAGAGAGAATGAATAATGGATGAGAATGATCAAGTAAAAATATTTTTTTCGAGATGATAAAAGATACCTATGTATGTTTGTATGTATGTACGTATGTATGTTTGTATATGAAAGATGCTTATTCGCGTTTGATGGAGCAATAACGTGTGAATCATCATGGGATGGACCACTTTCCCATGATATCTAAGAGAACCATAAGTTCAAGCAACAATGCAATCTTTTTTAATCTATGCAGATCGGCCGATCTTCTGGACCGGACAACGTGAGTCCAGTCAACCCGATAGAAAGAGAGAGAGAGAGAGAGAGAGAGAGAGAGAGATGAGAAAAAGGTGTGGAAGAAGCAAATAGATCCTCTTTTGATCCCATAAGGGCTTCCGATGTTCTAATTTCAAAATCACCGAGTGACCCAAACGGTCAGTATCCTATCGGTCATATTCCCATGAACGTTGACTACCTGGACATTTTCTTTCTCTTTCTAATTCACTTATGTCGTAATACGAACGCTCTAACGTTTGCACGAATACCCAGGTAATATTATTTACCTGGACATTGTCCGTCTATCCTTAGCCCGACAAAATCGAGTGGAACCTATTTAAATCAGGTCGAAAAAATCCGTTAGGTATGGCAGGTTACCTTTTTTCTTTTTCTTTTTCTTTTTCTTTTTTTTTTTCTCCTTCCTTCCTTCCTTCCTTCTTTAACAAAATCTCCTCTATGTCTTTCTAGTCTCGCCATCTTTGATATTTTTGCATGTGTCGTGTGATCAGAAATATATATTCTTCCTGGTAAGTCGTCAAGTATAAGAAAATGACAGTTCTGGCTATGGGAAAATAAAAATAAAAAAAAAGTCTACTAAAGGATCATCCGTTACGCCGTGTTCTACCTTATAACCTCGGACCGTTTCTATTTTAAGGGACACTACCCCGATTTAAGGTCCTGCCTCGCACCTGGATAACAAAGTGACTTCGCATTTGATATGATATATATATATATATATATATATATATATATATATATATCACGTTTGGGACGATTTTGTTAACTGGAGCAACGAACGGCGATATCCCTCACCACTACTATAACCACTATTAACAACATCACCATCACCACTACCACCACCACCACCATCACCACCACCACTACCACCACCACCACCACCACCACCACCACTACTACTACTATTAACAACATCACCACCACTACAACCATCATCGTCATCATAAAGACCATGTGTACATACTTACTTTGCTCAGTTTCAAACTATGGCGGCCGGACAAACGGAACTTGTGTTCCATTTTCTTAACCGACACTCTCCTTCTTTTTCTTTTTCCGTTTTTTTTTCTCTTTTCTCTTCTTATCTCCTCTCCCTCTCTCTCTCTCTCTCTCTCTCTCTCTCTCTCTCTCTCTCTCTCTCTCTCTCTCTCTCTCTCTCTCTCTCTCTCTCTCTCTCTGCCTCTCCCTCTCCCTCTTTCTCTCGCTCTTTTTACTTTTTTTATTTCTTTTTTTTTTGTTTTAATCGATTTAAGTTATTAATAATTTTATAATTTGTTTTGTTTTGTTTTTTTTTTTTTTTTTTCCTAATTTCTCTACGACATATCAATATAATTATAAAGCATATGTCAGTTCTTTTTTTTTTTCTTTTTTCTAATTAATAGATTGTAATAAATTGTAAGATTATAAAAGGGAATAATTAATATAATCTAAGCGTATGTTTGAAAATTAATAGATTATAAAGCATATTTGTATGATTATAAAAGATTGTGTATATGTATATATATATATAAAACGAAAAAGGGGAAAATTATGAAATAATAAATTATCTTAATAATAATTTTTTCTTCTTTTTTCTTTTTTTTTTTTTTTTTTTTATTTTTTTTTTTGCGACGAACCATCGTCAGTTATATCAGAGCTTATAATTTTCGATTGGAAAATTATAAAAAATTGAATGTGCTTAAGTGTTGAATAACTTTTTTTTTTTTTTAGGAAAGAAGAAAAATAAAACGAAAGAAAAGATTACTCGTTGCATATTCTTTTCTTCTTTTTATTATTATTATTATTAAGATTATTATTATTATTATTATATTTTTTTTTTTTTCAAATATTTTATAATACATATTTTTTTTATAATTATTTTATATATATATATATATATATATATATATATGCTCGAGAAATAATTTATTAAAAATAAATCGTGCTTTGGTTCGTCCGTTTCTATTTTATTCTATTCTTTTCTTTTCTTTTCTTTACTATTTTTTTTTTTCTTCCCTTCTCTCCGCGTGTTTGGTCAGTCATTTAACAAACGTTGATGTCTAGCAAACCCTCGAAGAATTTTGATTGGTCGAGCATGATTTTAACTAGAGCAACGAACATTTGGCCCCACAGCCATCATAGCAACCGACGACTGCTCGACCGCAACGAAAAGAATATCGAACGTGCTCTTCTCTTTACGTATACGACGCACAAAGAGAAATAAAATACAATACATATACATATATATATATATATACATACATATATATATATATATATATGTATATACATGTATACATATAGACAGTTTACACAGAGATAGATAAAATACTTCGATTTGTCGTCGTTGTCGTAGTCGTACTCGTCGTTATCATTATTCGGCCATTAAAAGTTCGTCTTGATGTTTTTAACTTGTCTAACCTATTCTAACGTACATATGACAAAGAGAATTAAAAGGAAAGAGATAGATAAATAGATAGATAGAGAGAGAGAGGGAGAGAGAGAGAGAGAGAGAGAGAGAGAAGAGAGAGAATAAGACTAGAACCTTGAAGTTAATCAGGTACGTCAGTAAAACTATCGGTGGCTTATCGATAGTGGCACATGCCGTCATATTCTTTACATTATTCAATAGATTTAGTTGAAAATTTGTTCCGAAAAAACTCGTTTGTTTCTCTCTCTCTCTTTCTCTCCCTTTCCCTCTCTCTCTCTTTCTCTCTCTCTCTCTCTCTCTCTCTCTCTCTCTTTCTCTCTCTCTCTCTCTTTTCTTTCTCTTTTCTTTCTCTTTTCAAGTGGAATAATATTAGAAAAATTTGTACGATATCTTTAAAAAAATGATATTACAAATAAGTCACGTTATATATATATATATATATATATATATATATATATATATATATGTAAGTACCTATTTGAAAGAAAGAAAAAAAGAAAAAGTGATTTATAAAAGTTTATTTATTTTCGTTAGAAGTCATGTTTATACGTAAGCAATATAATTTATAGTCAAGTATTGAGCTATTTTTTTCTTCCTATCTTTTTGTTTCCTTAATTTATCTTTTTCTTTTCCTTTTCCCTTTTTTCTTTTTTTCTTTTTTTCTTTTTATTTTTTTTTTTATTTTTTTTTTTTTCTTTTTTTTCATCAAACATCCAAGTCAACAGGATATTATGAAAATATTTTTATCACATTCTAGAAATATGATAATCGCGATAAGTCATCTATCTTTTTCTGATTTTTTTTTTTTCTTCCTCTCTTTCTTTCTTTCTTTCGATTACAAATCAAATTCATAGAGGCTCGTTTGAGATCGCATAAGTATTTACATACTTGACTTAATATAAAAGTATAAAGTTCTCAATATATATATATATATATATATATATATATATATATATATATATATATATATATATATACATACACATCGACGTCTTCAAGTATGAAAGTGAATAAAATAAAAAGAGTTTCTATGAGATCATAGAAAAATAAGATTTCTTACGTATGAATTATAAATGAAATTTATAGAAATTGTCTCGCAGTTGTTATAAAAAC